TTTTTCACTGTTTGTTTTTCCCCAACATATCCCAGCCTTCATCTCTGTCCTCTTAATGCTGCTTCCTATTTTCCTCTCTGATCTCCCTTGTTTCATCTTCTCTTCTCTGGTTTCCTCCCTTTCGTTTTAGCCCTGCTTTGTCCACACTGTCTCAGCCCACCCTCCCAAAGGGAAAGCGTATCTGTTTCATTCCATCTCCATTTCCCTCCCAGCCCCACAGCTGTTCCTTCTCTTTCCCATTCCTTCAGGCCTCTCTTCTGCTCCCAGCACCATCCACTGCCTTCTCCTTTTCCTCTCCCTGTCCAACCCCTTTCTTCCATCACTGGAGGTCAGCAACAGAGAAAACAGAACATGAACCAGGAGGGGGATGTTCCAGCCAAGAATGATGTGCCTGTGAGATGCCAAGTATTGTCTCACCAGCACTAGTCCAGACTGTTTTCATCTGGCTGGGCGAGCTGAACCCACCAGCTCAAGAACTGACACAGTTTTTGGTGTTTTGTGCTGTGCAATTTGTCATTACACCTGAGAAATTCCATCCTTTTGCTCTGCACAAATTGAAGGCCAAAAGCTCTGCAACAGGGATGAGGTGGAATGTACATATAATTTACAACTTTCTTTTCCTCACCATGTGCTGCACTTTCCCAACTAAGCACCAGCATCTGTAGCTGCCGATGTCTGTGCCTTGGCCCATGTAATTATGTGGGTTTTAGTTCTGCTCAATCACAAGCAATCATGGAGCTGCACTTTCAGCTGGGACAGAAAATGATCTAACAAGTTGGCTCGTGTGCGATTACAGAAGATACATTCTGCCACAAATTTGTTCTGCCACTGCTTTGTGCTCCTTAGTGGAAGGCCCCAGGGGAAGGGATGAACACAAGGGTGGCTGGTGTGTGACTCAGGTCTGTCTGTTGGCTGGGGTGAATTAAACTTACAGCTTAGACATGCAAAGAGCTTTTCACTCTGGAGGGAACTGGGCTGCACTGTGTGTATCTGCCTCAGAAACAATCTGACCTGCCTCAGGCATCTCTTTATGGATTTAAGGAATGATCAAATCTGGAAGGGGAACTTGATCTATTAGCAGGTCAGCCAAAGCCTAATGCAGCCCACAGCAATCCCCTATGCAGCCCAGAAAGTGCACGGAGACCCCAGAGCTGCTGTTTCACTCCCTCCACGGCTGTGGTTGCATCTCCTGCCCCTTCCCCCTCGCCTTTTCCTGTAATCCCTGACTCAGGCTTTGCCTTCTGTAGCAACAAAGAAAATGTCATCAAAAACCTCCTTACAGTGGTGCAGCGGGAGGCTGTGATAGCTGCAGTCACGGCTGGGGAATGAGCGGAGCTCTCTGTGCCATTATTGTTCTCTGCTCCAAGCTGGAAGCAGCCGAAAGGACTCGCAGCCTGTCCCCCTGGAACGATCCCCTGGGACCTGAGCAAACCTTCTGTGTTGCAGGGTGTGCACCAAAGTCAGGAATGGTATTTTATTTTTTATTTTTTTTTCAGGAAAATAATGACAAAATGTTCCACGTGAATTTAGAGTCAATATCCAGTTCCTTCACAGTGATTGCTCAGCAGTGATTGACATTTCAACTGTGTTTACAAGAACAAGTGAAGAAATACAGGAGGGGAATATGAGAATTTCCAGGGCCAGTGCAGGGTGTGCTGGAGGAGAAAACAATGCAGTGATTTGCCCCCCTGGTCAGACCCTCATGGGACAATTAAAAAACTTCTTAGAATGCTCTTCTTGTCAGGGTTTGGGATGTTTCCTCTGGGAGCAGTGATCTGCTCACACAGGTTTCTCTGAGAACCTGACTCAGAGCAGTCTGGTACCTCAGTGTGTAGCAAATGCCAGAAGTGATGACTTTGAAATGCCCATCAGCAATTTTAGGGGTGAGTACATATGGAAGTGAGATGAAGGAAAAGTCAGAAAACACTCTTAGCTTGCCTGTCTCCTTGCTAATGGAGATGATAGAATTAAAGTTATGCTATGCAAACTGTCCATTTCTGATCATACCATAATGTCCCCCTGCCAAGCTCCATGGCCCATAAAAATGCCCACTCTGCTCATAGTATTTAATTGTTTTAGCTTTTGATAAATCATCTGTTACAGCCTGTTGAACATTTTAAAACATTTCTTGCTAATGGATTTTCACAATGTAGTTTAAGGGATGTTGTTATTAATAAATGTAACTGCAGTGAATAGTAATTTGATAAAGATGAAAGAGGCATTTATAGATTCCACTTCCCTTTCAGCTGTTGCTAGGAATTTTCACTCCTTCAGAATATATTGAATTTAATCTTGATTTCTTTTTGTTAAAACCAGGCTATTATATTCTGATTCTATAAAGAGAATATGAGTAGGGTTGAACCAGTTCTCAGCACATCAGAGAGGTTTCCTTGCTGTGAGAGAAAACAAAACTGGCACAGGTATCCCATCCAGCACTGGTGGAAAAGTGTAAAGGCAGTTTGGTATTGGGAGGGTGTTTTTTTGCAAGATGATTAATCAATCTTAATATTGATGGAAACATGAAAAGGAAATAATTTCCCCATGCTTGATAGCCAATTTTTGCTAATGGTCTACTCTCCATTACACTTTCATTGCAATGACTGAAGTGCTTTGTTGTGTATAAATTAATTAGGGATTTGCATCTCAGTACTGAACAGTGAGTGATTGGCTCCAGTGAAATAGGAAATGTGGAATGTCTAAAGGCTGGTATCTGCCACAAAAATGGTAAACACTTGTGGCACACAATAATGAGAAGTACTGTGAGTTATGTTGGGAGTGCATCATAAAATTATCACAGGGCTAAACAAGGACAATTGTGAGGAGGAATGCTTGCAGAAAAAATGGGAAATGTTCTTTTCTGAGAAGAGAGCTTTGCTTCATTAAGATTTGATCCATGCAGAGTCTGATGTCTTCAGCACAGGAGACAGGTATTAATCATGGGAAAGAATTTGTTTGCACAACCAGCAGAAAGCCAGTTCTCTTAGCAAATAAGAAAAAAAATTACTTTCTTTTTCTGAATTGAACTTCCAGTTAAAGATGCATCATATCCAGATGCAGAACCAGAAATGAGCAAAGGCAACATGAAGCTGGAGGGGGCTGAGACAGAGACTTTGTTTCAGCCTCTCTCAGTTGCTGGCAATGTGACATTGTACAGCTCCTTCTCTTTTCTGTGATTCTTCCATACCTCCTAGCCTCTGTGTATTTTCTTTGTTAGCTCTTTTTGAGAGCAGAGAATTTCTCATACCCTGTGTTAGTGCTGCGTGTAACTGCTCCAGATGCTATGGTGATATCATCGAGACTAATAGCTCATCTGCCACCCAGCTCATTCCCTCAGCTCATTCTTTTGCCAGGCAGCATATCCTTGTGAATAGGCAGCTAAGAGATTGCTCTATAAAGCAGTAATATGGATCTGCCTCTTATAAATCAGGAGTAAGTTCAATGAAATTCAGCAGGAATAAAATGGGTACTTGTTACAGAGGAACTGAGACATTCTCTGCAAAATACACAAACAGTACTTACAATAAAGTTTAAAATTCAAGACAAGAAAATGGTGTGAGATGTCGGCTACAACTTGCACCAGACTTCTCCCTGGGGATGAGTGCATTACATTATAATCATTCCGTTTTTCTGGATTGCTTTCCTTGCAGAGCAGGCTATAAATAATCATTATTGGTACTGCAAGGAGGTAGTGGGTTTCTACACAGCCATGACTGAATTCTTAATTTGTCAGTTACTGATACAATGCATCTGTTTTTCTAATTATTTTAATGATATTTTATATGCAAAGGAAAGAATACAAAATTACTGAGGGGTTTGGGTTGGGTTTGTTTTCTTTTTTTTAGATTCCCAGACTAATTTGAGGCCAGCCTACCTGTGACTGTGTGTTTGTAAATCTTGGGTCTGAACTGGTGACATGCAGTGGTGGTTTGTGTGTACGGTTCAGCAATGTCAGCCCCGAGCCCCCAGCTACTCCACAGACAATAGCAATTTGTTACCAGCATCCCATGGGACACATTTTATTACTGGAGGAAGATTCTCAGGAATGAAAATGCAGTTTTATCCTTCTCAAAGTGCCCCTTGCCAAAGTCAGCCAGGCATCCAGGAGCACTTACTCCGAGTCATGCGTTGTTAATATTCCCCTAACTCGCTTAAGCATGAGGCAGGCACAGATTGCAGCTTCTGTCTTCCAGGAGTTGCTGCCTCCATTTCTTTGGGCCCAGCCATGCCCTCATGGACATCCAGGGCCTGATAGCTCCAATCACTGAAATCAATGGACCTAAAAGATTATGTATTGATGTAGGAGGGAGATGAATCAGGGCTGTGGCCAGAGTCCCATTGATTTCAGGGAGCAGGGCTGTGGTCGCTGCCCTGCGGAGGTTGAGAGCAGGGTGCTTTAGTGGCTGCCCTAGGGGCCCAGCTCAGTCACTGTGCTGTAGGCAGGGAGCACAGCTCCCTGACCTGAGATGCTCAATGCTGATGGGTGGCCCAAAACATAGTTTGTGGCCAAAATGAGCTTATTTCCTCTTGCAGATCCTGTCAGGAGAGCTCCTGAGGCAGTCCTGCTCTCCTCTCTGCCTCTACCCCAAGGAATGCAGGTCCTGACCACACACACTGCCCATACAGAACCTCTGCCTTGAACCTTGTGCCTCAGGCTTCAGTTTTGTGAGCCCTTAGATGGCCCTTCTGCAGCTGCCTCAGGCCACACACAGTCATGAGGTCTGCTGGAGGTGACAAAGCTGGCACTGGGTCTGGGAATACCTTTCCTGTATGGAGTTAAACTGGTGAGCATAATCCACTGGAAGCCTGAGCTCTTTGGTTTAGCACTTACCTGCAACAGGATGGACGTATGCCTGCAGCTGGCTCCGGAGGCAGTGCTGACCTGCAGCTGCTCCTCAGCTCCTTCACACAGCACGAGCAGCCTTGTCTTGAGGGGCTGGAAGGGCAGTAAGCACCGAGGGGCAGCAGGAAAGGTTGTGTTTCTGATTTGGTATCATTTACAGGTGATGTGCTGAAGTGCGGTATCACCAAAGTTAGACCCACCAGAAACTCAAGACAACAATGTGGAACGATGGTGTCTCCCTGCTCTGAGCTATCTCCGTTGGAAAGGAGATGGAAATGAAGACAAATGGAAAGGTTGGAAATGAAGACGTTGGAAAGGTTTTGGAAATGAAGACAAATGGAAATGTAGCCCCTGGACTTGTTATTACTGTTACTCAAAAGCCTCAGGCATCCAAGCTCTGGCCTGTTTGGCCAGTTGCCCTATGCTGCTGAGGATGCTCTGCTCCTTTTCACTAGAAAGCAAAAGCAGTTTTGTGCCCAACAGGCGATGGACTTTTCTCTTGCTTTTTTTTGGTCTCCTCCACTGCCTTCCCCTTCAAGAGGAGAGCAAAGGGTGGTGCAGCCTGTGGGTTTAACTGGACACCATCCCTTTAATGTGGACTTGTGTCCAAAAATAAATGCTACTGAAGGACTAAACAGATGTGAAAAGAAGGCTTGGACACTTGGAAGACAAGACTGCTTTGTGTTTCCCAAAGCAAAGAGCCTGTTCACAAGGAGGTTACTTTTTTCGACAAACACTAGTCCTGTGACACTGCCAAGGTCAGTAGGTGCCCAGCAGAGCACTGTGAATTTGAGGCAGACATGCTCTGGGAGTGGGGCACAGTTTTTCTCCCCCTCCAGAGTATTTTACCAGTATGTTAATGGAGAGGAGAGAAATTTGCTTTGCTGTTCCATTTCATCTCTTCTACAGGCATGGAACATGCATCAGTTGCCAATGGAAGAGCTTCCATCGATCTTCCATCTTTTTGGGACAGCAGTATGGCCTTAGTGCTGTGGTAGGTCTCTCACGCTGTTTTGGGAAGCGAGGGCTGAGCTGCTGCCATTCCACAGCTCAGAAATCTGGGAAGGCAAGGTCATGTCACAGGCAGGATCCTGGAGTGATTCTCATGGCAGTGGGGAAAGACAGTGAGTGGGTGGGTGACCCCCACTTCGAGTACAGATACCCTACCTGGCAGTGATTTTTAAAGGGATTTGGGTGACCAGTACATTTTTATGATGTGTTTTGAGTGCTTGTCTCCTCTTTTCTAGAATTGGCCCTGTACAGTCACTTTGAGCTAAGCCTCTGCTGCTTGTCCTGGCTGCATGTCTGGGACAGGTCAATCCACAGTCTTGGTGAGCTTTGCTTTCTTCAAGAACCAGGCAGAATTCAAAGCAAATAGCTTGGCACAGGCACCTCGTTTTCAGGTGAGCAAGGTCTGACTGCTGCAGCGATCTCAGTGGGGCTAGGAGGCTTTGTACTTCACCTCAGGCACTTAACTAATTCCTCATAGAGTGCAGTATGTTCTGAAGTGTGATCTTTATGTCTCAGTTATCTATAAAATGAAAATGCTAGTTCATCCTGAGAAGGGTTACAGTGTCTCTCACACACACAAGAAAGGCAGGTGAAGTTCTTTCACTGTCTCTAAAGCTCTGAGCTCTGAGTCATCCAGAGCCTCTGAGGACTCTGGTTGAAATTTTAAGGGTACCTCATTATGGCTGAATCTCCAGCACTGTCTGCAGTCACACGCCAAAGTATTCATCTCACAAAGGACAAATGATGAGAAATTAAGCGAACAAAAGAGTGCAGTCAACTGCACTGAAGACCTGAGGAGCTGAATGTGATGGGAACTGGATTCCAAAACTGGCTGGAATGTGCAGGAGGACAAACCCTGAAGGGAAACACTCCAAAACTAGTGGGATAAACAACCAGCCCCAAACATATGCAGGAGTTTGCTGAGAGCAGGCAAGCGATGGGCAGGTCTCAGCAGCAATGGGGTGTTCAGGTGCAGCCAGGGACTGAAATCAGAGGTCTGGAGGGGAACCACTGCAGGAAATGATGATCATCATCAAATGTCTTTGGAGCCCATCACCCTGCACAGGGCTGAGCCCCTGTGCCGGGGGCATGCTCAGTCCAGCCGTTCGGGACCTGCTTTATCAGCTACTCTGTCATCTTTGCCAGGAGTGTGGCATCAGAGACGAGTGTTGGGGCAAGACTGGAGGCACTATTTGCCTCAGTCTTCCCATTTTAATTTGCTGAGGTTAGAAAATATAAGGGTAGAATGAGAAATGTCTAATGTAAAGTTATGAATCAGATTTTGAAAAGGAAATGAAACAGATGGTAGAAGGTTTCAGTTAGATAAATACAGAAGAGGAAAAGAGGAGAAACGTGGCCATCATGTAGTGAGAATCAGATTGAGATTAGACCAGTCTACATATGGTCCAAAATGAATTAAAACCACTTTACCTATGTTTTCAGCAGAGATGATTATATTGGACAATGGGACAAAGATGAGATTCCTAGTAGGAACATACTTAAGGGAATGAAAATTATCACATGTAAGACAGAAGGAAAAGCTTAAAGAATTCCATGTGCTCAGATCAAGGTGCCCTGGCAGATTTCCACCTCAGGATTTGGAAAGAGCTGGCACTTTAAAGGAGCTCAGTGTAACCTTGTATTTCTCTTTGATGACTGACTTTTTTTCCCAAGACAAATGAAATACAGGTGATACACTCTATCCAGACATGAGTCAAGAGTTTGATATTACACCACATGGGAAATCAGTAGTTGAAGTTGAGAAGATGGGGATTAGTGTGGATGGCAATGCAGAACTGCTAAAGCGAAGGACAGGGAGCTCTGTGGGAAGGAGAAATGCCCGACAGAGAGTGGAACTCCTCAAGGGTCAGTCTTGAGCCAGTCTTGTTTTGTTAATGACTCTGGCACAGCTGTAGGAATGTCATACAGAAATTTGCTGAGGACACAGGCTTTGCTAATAGAGAGAAGGATCAGAACATCAATCAGCAATAACTTAATGACAGAATTTGAGATAGAATAGACAAAGTAGAAAGACAGGCAGTTAAAAATTAATCACTAGAATATCACATTACTCACTTGAGAATGACAAAAGCAGGGTGGTAAAAAAAAAAAACACATAGAGAGAATTACTTGCTCTGAGGGATAACTGTGAGCCACCAATCTGATATGGAAAGGCAAACACAGTCCCAGAAGATACAGGTTCACTCATGTTCAAGGAAGATTAGCAGGTACAGAGAAGGGCATTAAGGATGATCAGAGGGTTTAGAACAAGAGGAGACTAGAAGAGGTTCATTTGTTTAGTTTCTCAAAACAAAGACTAGAGCAGATAGGATTGTTTTTGGTAAATACATCTGATAGGTAAAGATCAGAGAAAAAAAGAGAACTGTTTAAACTAAATTACGATTCTGGCACAAGAACAAATGATATTAGGGCTGGAAATTGAAAATGAAGTGTTAGAATAGCCTGCCAAAAAGCGTGATATGATGTAATTGATTGTGATAGTGGGAGACTGGCTCAGTAATGCTGAGCCCTGTGTTCCTAGAAACGTGCAGCAGACAGGATTTTGGCAAAGTGGGCGCTGGCCTCTAACAAGGAGGAGGAGCCCTGTGCTGCCTGTGTGAGCATGAGAAAGCGTAACTGGCCAGTCACCAGCTTTGGGGGGAAAAAAGGAAGCTTTGATTTCAACAGCTAAAGTGAGGTCCTTCCCTCCTCCTCCCCTATGGGAACTGGCAAACTCAGCTCTTTAATGGTTCAAGTTCATCTCAGCCTTGCCTATAAATAGATAAATGAGATTCCTCCCGTCCCAGTGAGTAATTCTGACATCCTCCCGCTGCCTCAGAGAGCTGAGTCACAGGCACTCTGCACTCCAGTCCCTGCATTACTTACATGGTCTCAAAGGAAATTTTAACACATCCAGTGAATCATCAGGGATTGGATCATGTTTAAAGTTATTCCATTGGCATTTCCCTTCCATTGTAGCAAGTCTGCCAATACCTAAAACTTTGGCTAATCTGGATTCAAAACACATTGAGGAAACAGCATGTTGACATATACAGCTACTAATAAAAATAATAAGAAGAACTCTTTAAATTTGCACCAAAAAACAAATGACCCATAGTGGATTTGTCTCTTGCTTTTGGACCTGTTAATTTTGTCAGATTCTTCCTTTTTTTGTAGCTGCTTATTTAAAGGAACTTAAAATTTGAAATGTTTACTATTCAGTCGTTAGGCCCCTAATTTAATCTCCTGCAGATTTCCTGCCAAAATATTATTTGCACTGAGATGAAGCTTGCAGCCCCATGTTCATTCTGTCTCAGAGACAGACATTCCTGGTATTACCCATATGAAAAATAAAATGCCTGCAAAGCAAAGACAAAACCAGAGCAGTGTTAAGTAAAGAACACAGGGCAGTGATACCTCACTGTAGGAGCCTCATGGGGCATTGTCACTTGTCACCTTGCCTTCTCCCCAGTGGTTCAGTGTGGTCTTATTGACTTAGAAGTGACACAACATTTGAAATCAGAACATCTGCCTCTCTCTCTCCCCCTCAGAAAACATCTGGAAGAGTGGAAAATTCTCCAGCAGAATCTGGGGGCTGTGAAACAAATACAGAAATACTTCTCTCTGTTGGTTTTCTGGCTTGCCTTTCATATCTCAGAACCGGTTGGGACATTTCATTCATTATTACCAGACTTGGTTTCAGTCAGTGAGAAATGCTAACATTTGCTGGCTTGCTGCTGTAGTTTGGTATTCTTAGACCTAAAACCTGGTTTGTTCTTTTGATAACCCTAGGAAATCTGTGTCTTATTTAAATAACATTTTTCTAGTACCTTTTCATCAGACAGTTCTCTGCCTGTGCACAGATTGTTAATAAGCGTTTGCTCCACACATTCCAGTGTGAGCTGCAGTCGCTCCATGAGACGCTTCTGTTGTGAGGCTTGTTGGGTTATTTATCAGCCCAGCACAGCTTTCACTGCCAGTTTGCTGCCAGCTGTTAACTATACAATAGCATTGGGAACAAAATCAGTTCTGGCTCTGCCAGCAGAGTTGGACATAATTCAGCTACCTGTTGATAAATGATGATTTGTTTAACAGCATAAACTGTAATATTTTTGTAGCCAACAGTTTTCACCCTCCTCTGCAGCTGGTAAAAAAAACCTGAGGAATTCCCAGAAGTTCCTCATTTGTGTCTTTTTCAAGTTTTCTTACAGCAGTGTCTTGTACTGTTGTCTCTGTGCAGGAGAAGACATCCTGAATGGGTGAAGCAGTGGTGTCTGCATGCTGCTGGAGTAAGGCAGCTGCATTCCTTGGTGCCACTTGGCTGCACTCTGAAGCAGCAATGCCCACTGGACAGCTGGGCTATAGGGATGCTCCAGGACAAGCCAGAGGCCTGAAAACAAGACAGGATTTCTGTAAAGCATTAATCACCCCGTGCAGGGCTGGGCACTGGGAATGGGGCAAGGGTGCTCTTGCAGCACACACATGGTTTCTATCTAAGCTTTGTTTCAGCTGGATCTTTCCCACTAACACATCCTTCTTTAACACCTTGTACTCATTTACTTGGGGCTGTTTAGCAGCACAAATCAATTAAGTGCAGCAGAAACCCACTGAGACAGGGAGAGTTCCCTCTCTCTGGTTCGGCCGGGGTGGGAGGCACGCAGAGGTTAAGCTTGTGCTTTTTGCCACACAGGGAGTGAGGGTGGAGTGTGTAGCAGCCCCCAGCTCACCTCCTCTGTGGATGCCAGCTCTCCCCAGCAGCCTCAGAGGGACTCACAGCTGCTCCAGGAGCTCTGAAGGCCTTGGGGAGCTTCTCATCTGGCATCAAATAATCAGAGAACTGGAGAGTGCCAGCCCTGTTGCTATATCCCACTGAGATTGGCCAGGGAGCCTCACTGAACAGGGCTGAGCAGTCCTGAGGTACCAGCTGTGTCCTGTAGCAGGGACAGGGTACAGTGAAGGCCTCCAAGCTCACGTTCATGTGTCTCACAGGTTTGTCCATCATGAAATTGCCTGTACCTGCTGGGGAGGTCACTGCTCAGTGGTTTAACTGGTCCCACTGGCCAGAGGGACATGCAGGGGTTTAGGAAGTAGCAAAGTCATAAAATATGAATGAGAACAGAGTCAGAAAAAATGAGTGGCTTTAAAATAATCATTTGTTTGGTCTTGTTCCAAGTGCAGCACCAGCTCAGCGTGCCAAGCAGAGCTCAGGAAGTGCCTTCCGGCTGTCAGCCCCATGGGAACGGGATGCAGGGATGTGCCTCTGCTTCAGGCCAGGCTGGAGCTTCTCACACACAGCACAGGCCCCAGAAACATGAGACAGTAATTCAAGCCACATGATAAAGCTGATCCACACAATGAAGGAAGATAAAGCCTAACCAAGCAATTCCTGCTCCTCATGGGTGTCTCTCAGGAGGGCCTGAGGCTGTAGGACATGCCCTCAGCTCACAGAGACCATTAATCATGAGTGTGCCATAGTCCCTGGCTATTTTAATCACTGTTGAAATACACACTCCTAAAAATGGTATTTGATTCCAATGCACATGATTTCCTTTGGCTTCCTTTCCCCCAGTTAAGTGCAAGCTGTAACTACTTGGAAGTCACACTGGGATCCATACATTTACATAAGATCTGTGACACCAGACATAAATATCAGAATATACTGTAATGGGGCTGTGGTCTGAGTGTGCTGCCACCTGTCCTGTAGAGTGGCACACTGGAAATGTCACTGTGTCCTACTGGATCATCAGTCCTTCCCTGTTCCACTTTATAATGTAATGATTGAAAATGCCTCTTGTATATGCTAGCACTAATCAGGATGTCACTCTGTTGTGGGAGAAGTGAATGAATCATCAGGAATGGATGAACTGGGGGTATATTTGTAAAGGGTAGGCTGTAGACACCAGTTAGTCTTTAATTTTTGCTTTAAAAATGCAGAGCAAAAGTCACAGGAAGTTTAAGGAGAAAACAAATTGCTCTTCCACAGATTGAGAAGCACAGCACAGAGTTCTTGTATTGGTCAGCTTCTTTCATGATGCAGATGAGCAGCCTGAGGAGTCTGGGGGTGCCTTCCTTTAAGTACAGACTAAATGCACTGTGCTCCATGGGCTTACTGGTACCCTAATTTTCAAACTGAATTTCTCTGCATTTTTTGTCTATGAGGGTGTTGCTATTGAGTTTAAAGAACCAATCTGAGTTTACAGACAGAAAGAAAAAGTGAAGTTTACAGGAATATCAACTTAAAAATATAAGGAACATTTTTCAGATACACTAATCATCAGGGACCCCTTCAGTATTTGTCACACTGAGCCAGGTCATAGGTCCATGACACCAGGACAAATAGCCAAGAGGACTCCTCACAGTTATAACCTGGGGTTTAAATCATTACACCAAACAACATTATTTACCTGGGACACCACAACTGTTTTTCTTGCATCCTTAGTATTCAGGAAACAGCACATTCTTTTTTCTTTTTTTTTTTTTTAAAGCCGCATAGAAAGCAGCATCAACCTCAGTAACAAGAGGACTTTCTGTCTGTTGGGCTTCCAGGTTAAGAAGACAAATCCTGCTCCAATGACATAACAAACTTTTCAAACTCGATGTTGCAGAGAAAGGCACAGTCATGCTGTTCTAGATCAGCTGATGAGTTTGTGTGCTGAACTTGGTACTCAGGGATGTCAGCTCACTTTGCTGAGGGATTGTTTTGGTTTTTCTCTTTAAAAAGTACCAAGTATCAGCCTTTGAACCTCAGGCAATACAAACTGGGCACCAGAACAGGGTCCAGCTCATGTGAAGTTTGGCCCAGGCATCCCACTGGAGAAGTTGTAGTTTCTTTCCCACCAACTCCAGCAAATGTTCTCTTGGTGAAATATGCCAAATTCTGGTCCAATTAAAAAGACAGCCCAATAACCAACTACTAAAGCTAAAGGTTCCTTGAAAGCTTGGATTTATTCAGTGTTGCCAAAAATCAAATGTTTAAACTAGACAAAAGTTTGCCAAAATAACTATTTCCTCTGTGAAGCAGCTATTTATTCATCAGAAACTACATCGAAGTACCACAGGGCTTCAATAAAATAAATAAAATGAATTTGCCTGCAAAGTGTATTTTCTACTCTGATTTTATTCCATGTATGTGTCTGACATACAATTTCTGTTTGATTGAATGTACCACATTAAACTGTTCTGGACAGGAGCTGTGCACTGAAAGCAGCTGATAACAGTGCAAGGCAAGCATCACCTGCAGTGAGAGACTCCTTGCAGGCATTAACAGAATTACTTGTACTTGAAGAGAAATTTCTAATTTTTTCCCTTTTCCCTGCTGGGATCTCACCCTGCACCCTTTGCTCTGTGCTGCCTCGGGTCAGTTCTTTGTGGGTAGTGGTAACGCTCTCGCCAATCCAGATGCTCTGCACCTTCCAAGGATGGGCAAAGCAGCATCACTGGTGACTCAGGCTTAGTTTATCTGCTGTTACCTGTTTATCAGAGAAAAAATTGTGTGCATGTGAGGACATGGGTGTTTTATTTCAGCAGGATCTATTTTCATGTTCATGATGCTTAGCACAGACTAGGGATGACAACTTGAAGGAAGTCTGGGGCAGAGCTTAACAGCAGTGGAAACTGAGGGCATCACCTGAGTGAAAAAACCCCATAGTTGCCTGCATGTACTTTTCAAAACACTTTTATTTTAGGTATTTCTGCTTTTTTTCAAGCTAAATTGGAGGTGCTAAGTGACACTGAACTTTAAAAAGAAAGAAAATTCAATCTAGTCAGATTTGTTCTTGAAGTCATAGTGGCTTAGTGTGGGCACTAAGAAATGGACTTGGGTCTGTTGACAGTGTCCTCAAATGTTAAATCCAGCAGGGCTGGATCCCACTGCAGGATGTGCACAAGTGATCCTGCATGTGAACCCCTGGCCATGTACCAAGTGACCCTAAGACCTCTGCTGCACCAACCCTCCTCTCTGACAGGCAGCATGGCAACCTGGGGAGATTTGGGAACAGAACTGACAAAACCAGCACCAAACCACGGTGCTCTGCTATTCCCCACATGCAGTCACACATATGAAGGGTTTTTGTCCACAGAGCCCGGAGAAGTGGGCAAATTGCAGCTTGCCACAAGGAAAAAGACAAGGTTATAAAGCCCTGGAACAGTTCCTCAGACATTTCTATAGGCAGAGTTTCCATAGCATATAACATCCATTCATCAGGGCCTGGGCTGCAGGAGGAACTGCAGGAGTTGCTCTGTGCACATCCTCTGTTGGAAGTTTCGACTCGTCCTTCTGACCTTAAAATCCATGGGTGGGTTCTCTTCACAGTGGCAGAGTTGAGTAGGAAGATGCTGGGGAGGCGTATTCCAGGGCAAAAAATATGTTTATTTTAACATATAAATATTCTTATTTAAAGTGTTCATACTAAAGATAAAATTTGTAACAGAAACTCATCCAAAAAAGTTACAAACCCCCATTCCTGATCCTCCTGTTTTCATCACAAAGAATATTCCACAGTAGTAGTGTTACTTTGCAGCCTGTTAGCAGAAGAGATGATTGGGTCAGTTTGCTGTAGGTGTCAGAATCAGAACAGATTAAACTAATTCCATCCAACCATCTTGCCAAGGAAACATTCAAGCCCTTTTATCTTGTTTCAGTGTCCAAAAAAGACACAAGAGTTGCTGGATACAGAAATCCTTCTGGAGAGGAGCAGCAGAACTGGGGTATCCTGTGATGAGGCAGTCTCAGAAATCAAAGGTGTAAAAGCAGGAAGTCTGGACACAAACAGTTCCAAAAGTGTCACTTTTCAGCTGACACGAAGGACACTCCCAGTTCTGTGGGGCCTTGAGCAGCCCAGGTTTCTTTATTCCTGGTGGGTTGAACAGTATCCATCCTTCACTGATAGCAGCACCTTCCTTGTGCCCATTGTGTCTTATCTGTCACACAGTCACTGGGACAAGGATTGTCCTTTAGGACTTGCTTACACAGCAGCTGCAATAGCTACGGCAGGATGACTCCATGTGAACACTCATTCCACAGCCACGGGATCAGCTCCTGGTTCATACCATACCTTAAGTGGAGCAGCCTCAGTGTGTCAGTGTGCCTTACAAAGTTAAGCCAGACCTGGGACTCAGCTCAGGGTTTCTAGTCACTCCTTGTTTATAAAGAATTCAGCTTTAAGAAAAGCAGTTGAAATGCTCCTGAGAATGACAAATAACAGATGAGTAAATCTTGCTCCAGAGCCATAAAACTCAATTAAAAAAAAAACAAAACCATGCAATCCTAATCTATTGGCATAGGCATATAAAGCAGAATTAATTGATAATCATATCAATTAATTGATAAAATTCTAAAAGCCATTAACAAAGCCTTTTCAGAAAGGTAATGAATAAGTAATCCACAAAGACAACGTGAAAGGACTGCTGCTGCTGTGGGGCCAGGGACCCATTATTTTGTCTATCCATACCACTGGCGTTATTAAAGGATAAAAGCTTTGAACATTGCTGTAGAGTTCAATGAAAATAAAAACTTTTACTCAGCATACAGAAGCTTTCAGAAATGCAAATAAAGTATTAGAATGCATAAAGATGGCAAATAATTAAAAATTATGGTTCTGTTTAACAAATTGCTTCTTTGCACACAATTACTTCATCATGGTCTGATCTGAAATATGAGAGCAGGAATAAAGTTCAGAGAAAGATGCTGTGGATGACCAGAGACCTGCAATGAACTTGCTGAAAGAGAAGTAAAACAGAACTGGGAGGAATGGTTTGGGTAAGGGCTCTTTCAGTGGGCTTGGGGTGCATCTCTCTAGTTGCATTTATTTCTGGTGGGGGGAAATGTCACAGACACAACAGGGAGGGAAAGCACTCAGCTTGTTTAATTTCCCTATCTTTGTGCTCCAGTTCTCATGTCCTGAGCATCATAAGAAGCTCATGCTCCATGCCACAGGTTACAGCACCACGTCCTTCTAGTTCCACTCCAACAGGAACACCGTCCCCAGCCTGACACCCTGCTCTGACCTGCCAGCCCTCCTTCCCAAGGGCCGCCTGCCCTCGAGCTCTCCTTCCAGGCCTCCCCATGCCACAGTTGACTATTGCAAGAACAATAAGGATTTTTAGGGGCATTATGACTGGGTTAGTAAAACACAGCTGCCCCTGAAAGTCCCTCATTTTTCTTGCTGCCGCTCAGTCGGTCCCCAGGAGGGCAGGGTCTGACAGGTCCGTTCTCTCCAGCACGGCACACACAGCTCTGCTGATGTGCCTGGTAGTGCCGCAGCCCCAGTGTCCCAGTGCCCAGTGTCCCAGTGCCCAGTGTCCCAGTGTCCCAGTGCCCAGTGACCAGCCCACACGGCAGGGGAAGATATGCAACTGCTTTGCCATTCCTGCTGGCTCCTCCTAAGCAAACGCCACGCTGTGTTTCAGCGTAATGCCAGATGGCTCGTCTGTCGCTCGCGAGGATGCCACCAACCACAGCTTGGCACAACTCGCTGCAGGCAGCCCTGGAACACCCCAGCCACCAGGGAAAACGGCAGGATCACCTTGTCCTGCACCCAGGTGAGCAGTGGTCTTTGGCTGGGGGAAGTGGAGACCCCGGGGCTGAGTGGCCCCACACATCCCACACTGGGTCA